TAATAAAATAAAAAAACACAAACTCATACATGCAATATGTCCCCAATCGCCTGGGTTTTTGAGGGTTCGGGGGGTTGGGGGGGGGGGGGGTCACAGTATATGTCCACTCTAACGAATCATTTGCCTAAAGTTTTATATCCCTGATCCCAAACATAGACTTACAATGACAGTTTTCCTAAATGTATACATTCTATCTTAACTCACTGCATAGCTTTTTATATCTATTCTTCATTGACATAGGACTTATGATTAGAATTTACATATTTATCCCGAGTAGAAGAAAGATGATAAGACGGCTCAATCCTATGGCGAACCACGGCCGGTTACCGATTCATGTCGGGTACAGGATTATTTAGCCAGTTATACATTTCAGATACTTAGACTTGGTTTATATCTGAAATTACAATCCTGGTTTTGGTTCGTGTTTGAGCTTGTATTCTATATTTCTTTCGAAAAGTACCTTTGAACTCGGTTCGGTTTTTCTTCCCATTTCCTAACCTTTGAACTCGGTTCGGTTTGGCTTTCCATTTTCTATCCCGGTCGTAGCACACGCGTATCTCGTGATTTAAAACACTCATACATCTGTAATCCACGTCGCCTAAATCGAGATATACAACATTCCAATGTTCAGAAAAGTGTTGAAGGACCACTTTGCATTCCTATAGTAAGTTAGCGCCTTTTAATCAGTCTCGCTAACAACATTCCTAACAAGCTTTCGGATTAATGACTGTTGAAATACTACGATAAATATTCTTAGACGTAGGCGTAGCCAAGAGGTGGGGATGGGGGCATAAATTCATACGCCTTTCACAACACTATTTTACTTTATTTTTAAACGATTTTCCAAAGAGCGAACGTTTTCTGTCTTGATAGCAATAATTCTTTAATCAAATGAACCGAACAAAATAGATAAATTGCGAGCTTGTGTGCATTGGATAACTTTGACAACGAAGTCCGTCTATAGAGCGATTGCCAGATATCAGTGGATACTTTTATCTGGCTTTGTTTGGAGCAAAATGTACGAATAAGCGTATCCCAATCCCCAGTTTTATGACTTTGCTATAGACTGGAATTCTATGATGAGTCACAAAATACATGAATCATAATACTGAAGTTTATACAGGCCGTGACACGTGAGTGTGTAATAACCTTTGCATGCAATATTGAAATGAAACGATCCCGGCCTCGCAATAGCCTTGTTTAGCGAAAGTGTAAAACTCCTCTTGCAAGTTTTATGCATTTCTTTGAAACATTCGATGTGTTGTATTACAGAGGTATTCAACTCATTTTACGTTTTTTTGAAGCCGTTTTGACTCATGTTTAGTGTACTTCTTCAGTCTTCAGTATCTGTTAAATGTGCGACGGCACACCCCAAGGGAATTTATGTTGTCGAAAGAAATGTTACTAAACGTTGACTTAGTGTTGGCAATGATATGAGGCGTTATGGTATGCCGATAATGTTATCTACCAGGTCATTTTTAATCAACTGAACAAACCTATTGGAATACCCGATTTGAACTCAATAATTCATCTGGGGTTTACAATTCATTTCCACCACCTTAATCATCGTGGGATTAGCTGAGTGAGCTCTTAAGCATTACCGAAAAATGTTTTGTACATAATAGCGCGTTAAATACCAGTGGATTCTTGCCCAAAACTTCGAAACTGTGAACTTAGAGCGTTTTGACCTTTGACCTCGTTAGTGTGAAAGAGCAACTGGGCATAATAGCCTCTCCAGTCGGACCACATTCACAGCCGAGTTTGGACATTTGTAGAACACTTTCTTACCATATCGTTATGTATGCCTTACGCAACTTGTATCATAATCCCAAATTGATATACTTCACACATGATGTCCATAGAAGCTGGACATTTTTCAAGTTGCTAATGGAATAAATTAACACCGTATATCGTTTGTAATGGGTATATGAATGAATAACTTGGTGATAAGATGTGAATTATATAAAGTCTTTAATATCCTCACCACAATTATGCATTCACATATTGTTCCCTCAACATATGACTTCACATGGGTATGTGGAGCGTAATGACCACTTTAAAATATTCAGAAGCATTTCGGTTCCGTATTGCCCACCAATTTATTGCACTCATAGCAAAGTTGGTAGAATAGAGTCTTGAGATGCTTACCCTGCCATGGGCAGGCTATCACACGTATGTACTAAATATAAAATCGACAATACAGCGAACTGAAAATAGTTTAAATAGACATTTTTCATTGGATAGGCTATGTCGAATCGGAAAGATTCGGTCTTTTTAAATAGTAATAAGTATCTCTTTACATTACAATAGTTACCAGTGGTTACTTGTATATGGTCTCGTTTTGGAAAAAGCTTGAACAAAACAAATTACAACGGTTGACGTAGAGAATTTCATTATTATTGAACGACTATATCTCAAACATTTGAACAAACATTCGGACTTTGCAAAGTTTGATCCAATAAAAATGTATCTTCACACAAGTAGTAACAACTAGTCGATATGAACGCGATTTGCATTGTCCGATACTTCTAATTAATAGGAGAAAATGTCCTAATGCTCAAGCTATGACACGAATGCTATGTTTTTTCAATTAAAATTAGATGTAATACCGATAAAAGAGTTGCAAGCGCTAAAAATCTATATTCATGTTCATAATTGAGATTGCATTGTTTTTGTTAAAATACGTGTTTCGTGAAACTCCATCTAGCTGTTTTATAGGTTTTTGTTACCAATAATATACACGAGCTGACCCCGATCCGTTAAGAGTTACTGTGGAGTTTGGTGCGTAAGGACTGTAAAGGAGGGTTACTGTGGTGTGTATGATTCTAACGTGGAATGCGTTTGGCGAATCATGCCATCACACATCTGATTACTTTTCGTGGGGTTGCGGACGGTTGCGCCTTTTTCCAGTTTTCTGTCCATGCATCTGAAAAAAATGGCTTTCTAATTCCATCCCAAACCCGACTGGTAACCCCACGAAAGGGCGTGGTTCGCCATGTGATGAAGCCATTTTTACGTCTTTTCTCCCCTCTGGATGAATATAAAAATCCTATTGTATCCACGGCGGCAAAATAACAATCATTTATAAATTTATTGTTTTCGACCTTTCTAGATCAATTTATCAACTCGCATTTACGCACAGTCAAAACACTTTTTATTCGGGCCAGAAAAGTAATTTTAACTTCATTTCATCACGCAATATTTTCTCCAAGAACGCTATAATTACGTTATTATCGAGCCACTTTTGTTGCATGGCGACTTTGCACGTCGACATGTTTTTGCCAAATGTATATAGTAAAATAGTAATAATAGGAGCACTTTTAACGCGAGCGATTCGTTTAGGATTCATATATTCAAACCTTTGGATCTTTTATACAAAGCTTCTGCCACTGATGCAAAAATGTGAGGTTTGAGAAACACATTCCTCCGCCACGTTTCAAAATAACAAATTAGCAATTATTCCCTTGGATGAGGATAAGGAATGATTTGAAAATTTGAATGCAATCTGCATTCCTAGTCCCATCTCTGACTGAATATTTAATTATCTTTTTTATTTTGAATTTTGAACGTTGGCGGTGGCGGGGTCTCCGTACAAAAATCACTTTTTTCGGAGCTCCAGAAGTATGTGCACCAAGATGGCGCACAACCTGAACATAGTATGTGTACCAGGTTAGGGTTCAGATTGTGCGCCATCTTGGTGCGTCTTTTTTTTTCAACGTTTTCAATGGACATTATTTTAAGCATTGTTGCAAAACATCCGAAATTGGATTAAGGTTAAATAACAAACTTTAGTGGCAAAACAAGTATATTGAAAGTGGTTATTCGCACGTATGGAATGCCGAATAACGCCAATCGCGCGGGAAAAACATGTGTTCAACACATGAATACACTCATAAAGTGGCAAATAAACTAACCAACGCGAATATGTCATTAGAAGACGAATAACCAACGCAAAGTTTCGATCCGATGGGTCTTGACGTCAATAGTTTTACGTAGTTATTTTGAAGGGGTAGAGAATTCATTTTGCTAATTGCATTCATATGTATCAAATGTGGATATACAAGGTGGTCTCTAGAAAAAGAGAAATTTGTCAAACAACTCTTTATTTATACAAATGATGATTTGAAAACGAGTTTTGGAAGAGCTTGAAACGATATCCCACAAGTTCATCTCCAAAACGCCAAAACAGCGTTGACTTTTAAGTTGAGACACTGCTCTGAAGTGCATGGTCGACATTTGGAGCATATATGAGTGCTGTGTAATATAGGCCTTCAAAACTTTGTTAAAGTCATTCTTTGTAAATATAAATAGTTGTTGACAAATTTTCTGTTATTCTAGCGATTACCCTGTATTTTGAAAGATGTCCACAGTAGTCCTTTTTCTTCTATATTGCCATGTAGCGAGTCAAGGATCTAGGATTCATACTTCTTTCCCACCTTCGTAATGAATCTGGGAGACACAAATTGAGTAAGCTGAACTAAAAGCAGTTTCGGTCGTTCAAAAACATATTAGGCTCTGACGTATTAGTTAATACTTGTCAAACTAAGAAACATGAAGCGTTTTCCAGCTTTGCTTCAACATCAAAATAGACTTGTATTCCGGTTTCTTGTATTTTAAACTAAATCTAGATTTATCAGCCATTGAAACAGTGGTTCCCGAACCGCGGCTGGCTGATCAATTACGGCCCTCATAAAGATTCAATATGGCCCGCCAACCTTAAGAAAAATAGTCTAACACTTTATGTTTTATCTTTTTTGCGTTCTAGACACGTCATCATCACAATTTAAGCACGTGTATATCCGTACCGTATGGAATTCAATTACACCGGTAAATTAATTATATGTACCGGTATTAAAATTACATATATGTTGCGGATATCTGTCCAGGAGCGACCTTGAGAACCACTGCTTTGAGCTGTCTCTTACAATGTTACTATTTTACTGTCTCTTTTCTCTGTGCAAGGTTTTGAACAGTCAGTCACGATCACTCTTCTTTTTTAGAAACCGTTTATGACCACACCATCGTAATCGACGGGAAAGATATTTACATCCATGTTTGGGACTCTGGGATTCCTGCTATGTTACAGGTAGGATTTTGATTTTACGTTTTATTGACGATTGACCTATAGATGAATGAAACTTCAGGTTGTTGTTTTGTCCGGGCTTTGTCTGGGTATACTATTTTAAGGGCAATTGTGCATGAAAGAATTAAATTAATTTCAATTACTAGTTACTTATCAATTTTAATCGGTAAGTATGTTGATAGGTATTTGTCTGTCTGTATGTCTGTTTGTTTGTCTGTTAGATGCACGCGATATCTCACGAAAGCAAGATTGAATCTGCTCCAGATTTTGCATTTACTTTTATCTTATCTCGGACCAGAAGCCAATTGATTTTGGGCAAATTATGTCGAATAATTAGCGAGTTATTAATTAATTAGTGATGGGTCACAAGGTGTCCATACGGAGTAAGAGCGCTGTTATGGGGGATCCCCTAATTTTCGATCGATAAGTCTTCGGTCTCTGACCGATATTCTCGTTTCAACTTTAATGAGTTTATTGATGAATCGCTTCGGAGCCGTATAAGTTGTTACCTCATGGAACTGTTCGTGTTTTACGATGTACAGGCTGTGTACGAGTAGACTCGTATATTAATAATAGTGTGCCGTAAGAATTTGATATTCCGTTTTTTTTCTTTGACGCTTAAGCGACCGGTTTCAAATTTTAGTAGTCAGCATCTTAGAAAGATATGTTACTTTAATATATTTTAAATTTTTTTGGGATATCTCTATATATACTAGTTTCAAAGACAGTTGAATTCGGCACACGGATTAGTTGTGAATTCAATTATTTCTTTCCTTTCTTTCTTAATCGGACTTCTAGTCGAAACTAACACAGTTTAAAACACTCCGTTACGCTCATCAGCCCAAGTGCGCACTTTGCAAATAATAATAAAATCTTCAAAAACGAAATGTGATACATGGCGGTATTGTATATATAAAAATCTAGCTTTCATATCAACTTATTCAATTAGATTTTTTGATTAAATCACAACGATACAGAATATAATTTTGGGTATTCCCAAAGTATGTGAACCAAGATAGCCGACACCGGAACGTAGTAAGTGTACCAGATTATGGTTGGGGCCCTAATTTTATTTCAGGTCCTGTTCAGTTCAGAGACTAGACAAGTGACTCCCGTAGTATTTGTACCTGAAATAATTGCCTAACCCTAACCTGGCACGCATACTACGTTCCGGTGTCCGCGATCTTGGTTCACATACTTCGGGAGTACCCAATTTTGTCGACGCCCATGCACGGACTATATATCTTTTGACGACACTTATACTTTTAGTACCTTCTACTCTTGCTACTCGACCATTTATAGTTTAATCCGGAGTTGACGTTTGTCGATAACAAGAATTAACCACAATCTTTGACTGGCGGCTTCAAACACTTGTAACTCTATCTGCTTTGCAACCGGCGGCTCTTGACTTTTGACTTTTGGTCTTTTTGTCTGGTTTTTAATGACGTCATACCACTGTAAGGTTATCTTCAGCAGACAAGCAGACTAAGAATTTTCCAAGAAATGTAAATGAATTGCGAAAGTCTATCTCGTTCATAAGTCTTTTTGCTATTGTGTGGACGGCGTTGTCTTGCAACAACAATAGTTATTACATGTGGTCAAATTCCAAATTTTACGAACAAGTTCCATTTTCTTATCGTAATCACTAATAACAGATTCCGTTATTTTGCAAAAAATGGCCGAAATTTAAAAAGCAAGTTTCAATCGGGCAACATAGAGTTTATAGAGTATTAAACTAAAATGGGCCATACTCGGCATGTAGTACACTTGCTAACATCTTACTTACATTTACTCAAGTTTGAGGTGGTCATTACAACCTACATACCCCATATGATGTCATATTGGGAACACGATATAAGGCTCAAGATGTACAAACGCCTTACTGCCTACTTAAACTTTTATTTTCTCAGACAGAGACTGATCATCTAGTTCTAGTAAACGCTGTTCAAATGTTGATGTCTTTCTATATATAAATTAGTGTAACATTATAAATTGAACTTAAATAGATTATTTGTGTAGTCATGACGCTCTACAATTCCCCATATGACGTCATATGGGGAAATATGCGAGGTCTGTTTAAGGTGTATAATAAATTAATTAGTTGTGCTTTTGTACAATGAATTGATTGTATTTTACTAGAATGAGTGGAATAAGTTAGAGTTTACATTTCGAGCATTTATATGAAAGTTTCAACAAACTTGTAAGTAAGTGCCAATCTTCCGTTGGCCTTTTTGAATACTTATAACAAAATTAATTTGTGAATATTGGTCATTTTCTTTTTCATTTCAATATAGTACGGATTGCCTATTCAAAATGAACTTTAAAATTTTCATTTTTTTAGATGAATTACCATTCTGGAAATAACGCCAATGGTCGATCTAAAAATTTTCATAATGGTGAAAAATATTGTTTTTTCCAGTCTATATACGAATCTTTTTATTTTTATTTTTATTTTATTTATTTCGCCCACGAGCCATGAGGTCTGCGTTTTCCTCCTCCGGGCAAGTTGTACACTGTCTAATTGATTACTCGCAAAGATCAAATTGTTTTCTGCCATTTTAATTAGGTTAAGCAAAAAATATTAGAATACAAAGCAAACTCAGCGACCCAAGATGTGGTCGGAACTCGGATACCGTCGCAAAATTACTTAACCGAGTCCGTATGAAACACGATTCTTCATAACGGAACCAAAATGAAACTTGAAGCGTTTTTGAAGATTAACTTTGAAAAGAGATATGCCGTGGTGACAATACATGAACACAAACCTTCAAAAATATGATTTCCAGATCACTGCGTCTGAAACGATATGGGTTGCACCTTGGCTTTGAGTCGTAATTGATATTGTGGTATAGCCCGTATAGGTGCTGAGATTACAAATTTTTTTTTAAATAATGTGCATTGAAACATGGTGTTATTAATGAGTTTTTTTCACATTTCCACCTAACACGGTTATGGGGCAGTCTCTGCTCTGAGTATACCATTGAGTTCAGACTGACATGCATATTTAATTTAGCTTCACTACTAGGTAACGTGATAGGCCCGACCTAATATTTTTTCAATTTTTTCACTTTCATCGCAAACGTGAGAAAGTATTCTCCGAAAAAATTATGTTCTCTATGGAATATGTTCCAAATGACCTGGATTTTTTTGAATCATCTTGTTAATTAATGCGGTATTTTTGAAGTCTTTTTTTCATAGCATGCAACGTTCTTCTGTGATTTGGCTTAAAATGGCTATGCTCATGTTCTACTTGGTCAACATAAAGTTGATATGGAGTATATGACATGGCGTGTCAAGTCTAAAATGAACATATATAATTTGGGGAAGAAAATAGGTTTTTTAAGAACGGTATATGTCCCGTGAGACCAGTGGTTCCCAAAGCTGATTGACTGAGGGCCAAAACAAAAAGTGGAATGATATTCGCGGGCAATGAGAGTGGAGAGCCCGCAAGGGGCGATACCGGTTCCAGTACGTATAATTAAAATACCGGTATAACTGGATTGTTATAAATATACCCGTGCTCAAACTATGATAATGCCGTAACAATTGGCGGTATTTCGAACACAAAACAAAAAAAAACAAAGTGTCAAAATATTTTACTCAAGTTCGGCTGGCTATATCATATCGTTACGCGGGCCGCAATTGAGCCGCGGTATGGAAACCACTGAATTAGACATTGCTTAACTGTAGCAACGCCTGATAAGAGTGGGGCCTAAATGTTGCTTATAACCTACAGTTGAGTTTATTTATCGTTTTACTTGGTGGTCTTTGAAAGCAATTTGGTGTGAAATTATGCTATTAGCGTTACTGGACCTGAAAATCACATTATGGTTTGCATTCTAATAACTAATTTTGTTATTGTTTGAACTTTTTATTGAGTTCAAAAATCATTAGGCTAGCGGAAACTTGCGCATATTTTAGCGTGCAGATAAATACGATACTTTAGCGAGCATAATATCTTAAAGTGAAAAAATAAATTGCAGTGAAAATTACCAAAAACTTGGAATCATTTTAGAAAAAATTACCGCTATAAGTGAAAGATGATGTCGGTGACTTTGTCATTTGCTATGCAACATCTACCCAAAGCCCTCTCCCCTTGTATACTGTATACACACAGATATTCATATCTAAAGCGTTCAAAAAGGAGGGGTGTACCATATGGAGGTAACTAACTCTGTCTACTTCACATCAAGTTGTGTAAAGGGACTGTAACCAATGGGCAGTGGGGAATATTCATTTGACTAACACAGACAGTCCTCGAACTCGTAATAGAACTAAAATAAGGAAAATCGGAATAAAACTATGGCCTAATTTTAACCTGGAACACACACTACGGGGGTACCGAAAAAAGGTCGACGTAACTGGCCATGTAATACCATTTCGAACAAAAGTTTTTTTATAAAACGATCGCAAATACAACAGATTAATATTACCCCACAATAGTTACTATCAATCTTTTTGTCAAAACATAGACCCCATTGTGATGGGCAATTAACTCCCGCGAAAAGATAAGCTAATCATGTTTTGTTGGGGGTCATTAAGTTTTTTTAAGAGTTCTGAAAATAACAATTACGTAAATTGCGCTGTTTTTTTTCATTTTAGCTATGAATTTATGATAATGAGTTGTGTTCAAATATAAGGGCCCTGTGCGAGTTTGGTTGGTCTAATAAATCAAGAAATAAAAAAAAAACGCTATTTTGCTATGCTTGAGACAATTTGGGCATTTGTTTTGCAAAAACCATGTGCTAGAACTGCAGGTTCAAAAGTTTTTATCAATGAATCAAGAAATAAAATACGCGATTTTACTTGCTCTAGACAATTTGGGCATTTGTTTTGCAAAAACCATGTGCTAGAACGGCAGATTTAAAATTTTTTGTAAATGAGCGGCTTGCGCCAGATATGACCCGAACTGACACCCCAACATAAATATATTCTATGATGACGTAATTTCAAACCACTGTGAATACGGATTTTTTTTTAGAAAATTTAAAAATGATATTGAA